CAGATTAGCTAAAATAACCTAATTTACGTTTCTTAAGATGGGGTGAGCGATAGATTTTTCCTCCAAGTGGTGCACCCTGGGCAATGTATACCCATACGCCAATGAAATTCTATAAACCGGCAGTTGATTTCTGACTACCATGAACCCACTTTATGTTGTATTCGACCACGTTTACAGTACTCACCTTACCTTACCTTTTTCCTACCATTGTGTCTATCTCAATTACATCTGTGAATCACTTTTCTGTTGCCCCTCTCGAATTTTTCTCACTTTGATGTTTTTCCACACTGTGAAGCCCGAAGTCATAACTCTCCGATATATATATATATATATATATATATTTCTTAAGATGGGGTGCGTGATAGACTTACCTCCACGTGGTGCACCCTGGGCAACGTATACTCAAACGGCAAAAAAGTCTATTAACTGGCGATTGACTTCTGGTGCAGTCCTCATCCTACCTTTTCTCTGCCTTCATGTTTGTCTCTTTACATCTGTAAATCACTCTTCTGTTCACCACCCCTCGACTTTCTGTCACATTGTTGTTCCTTCCCTCTGTGAAGCCCGAAGTCAACTAAAGGGCTAATGATAACTATCAAAACGCCTGCCATTTGAAATAAATAAATAAATCTTTCTTAAGATTTTCTACTACTATTACAAAAGTCGGTTATAATATCAATTACATATACTTGCTTTAAAAAGAGCAATTTCGCAAGGCGAAAATAACCATAAAATTACCCACATTAATTGAAGCTTTAGGATTGCCTTTGAGATGTTTTAGCCTTCAAAGCTAATTTATAGAAATGTGAAAACTAAGTTTTTCGGGCGGTTATTAGAATATTCCGAACAACTTTCAACACGAGGACGAAAACAATAATCTGAAAGATTATACGTATTAACTAGAAATCGTAACAGAGCAGCAATATGAGAATTTTAAAAACAATTACTAACAGAACTTAAAATTTTACTAAGAATGTGGCTATTATGCCCCAAATTCCATGGCCATTTTCAAACGAAGAAAGATTAGGTGCGTGACTTACTGTGTTAGACTTGACATATGAGAGACAATACTTGTAAATAAAACCCTAAAATATAAATTCAGAGAGTCACCTTCAGATATGCCATATCAACGAAACGTTCAACTCTTTTTTAATTACTTTTCAGCCATTATTTAAAACATGCAGTTTTGGATTCATTGAGTTTGTGGGTTTCAGATCATATGTCTGAAAATGTCTAATTACAGATTTTAGTAATTTACAAACATGAGAGAAGCATGTTTTTACTATTTATGTTAAGAAAGTCGAAAATTTCAAACACCTTTGAATTAACATATATCTGTTCAGTTAAATTACTATAATTTTTATGGCAAACTGTATTAAATCCAACCAGAGTTTGCTTTTCGTCAAGTTAGTTCAATATATTACATCTTGTTATGAAGGTAATTCCCTTAAGGCATTAAAAAACGGTTCAACAATACTATTTTATCATAAAACTTGATATTTAACATTCATTTCCTATTGTTTCGGGAAACGTCTAAAGTAAGATATTCCTTGAAAATAGAGAGCGAATAATAATATATTAAAGTTACTGACATCCACTTCTAACAGTTTTATCCTCACAAAAGATATAGTAAGACTAAGCATAATACTGTCTGAAGGAAATACAAAGTAAAGAAGTAAAGAAGCGCATGTTTGCTCGAATATTATGAAACATGACAGACGTCATTACAATCACTCTATGGAGTTACAAGTGCCGAGACCTCTCGAGCAACCAATAATCAAAGTCATTAAGTTGTTATTTATCATACCCGAAAGTGCATAAGTGCGTTGCATGTCAAATTGAAATTGTTATCCAAGGGTTAAAGGCCTTGAAATATCATTACATCAGTGCTATATATTATCAACATTAACATTAGCTAATGGTAAAAAATGTAAACATTTCATTCGATAAATCCATTTACATATATTTGTCTATGTAAGAATAATATCTGCACACTAAACTCATTTATCATTCTACAGTTATTTGTAATTTAAAAATGATAATGATTATTCACTTGTACCTTAGTTTTAAAATTTTAATAAAAATATCTTTAAGTTAGTTAATAAACTCCGCGAGGTTCGAGTTTTTCCTATTGCTCTTAAGTCCGTATAATTCACACTAAACATTCGTCACTTCATTCCACAACGATTACCTGATTTTCATAATTTGTGCGATTCCATTGTCCAGAAATGTCCCCATCGTGGATCTTCCACTTAAACGTTTGGGTTATTTTAACTGTAATTACACAACTTATCTTCTACGGACTATCATTTATCGAAGGTGTTACTCCCTGCTTAGCGGTTACTGTTGCCCGGATTTTACCGCCTCATTGCTGGGTTTGGACTTTAATTACGTTTAATTTTTACAATGTACATATTTTTCACCTTCTTCTCGATATGGTTACGGTATACCTCGTTGACGTAGTAATGTTTCCATCGTGGAAATTAACAGAAGTCATCAAATGCTGCGCTATATCTCAAATTTTTGCAACTTTTCTTGTTGTTTCTACTCTTTTTATCAGCTACGCTTGTACATTTAATCTTGACCTTCTATGGGTCGCTCCAATCTGCGGTTTGACTCCTTTATTTGGTACTGTTCTAGTCGTCGCACGTCAGTTAACCCCAGACAATATTCTTGCAACATTGCCTTTGGGCAAGTTTCGGATCAAGCATATCGCGTTTACCATGTTCTTCTGTTTTCTCTTTTTCCCAATCTTGCGAATTAGCGATTATGTTCATTTTCTTCTTTTCTCATATGGAGCATTCGTAACCTGGATTTACCTCCGCTTCTTTCAAAGGCACAACAACGGCGATGTTGGTGACACCACAGATGCTTTTAAATTCTCAGGGTAGGTTTAAAGTAGGGGTCAGTATATCACTCTTTATAGATTCTTTCCGAATCATTTAGAACCGCCCGTATCAATAGCATCAAATGCTATCTACAATCTTATGGTTAAAATTCACATCTGTCCACCGAAAGCCGTCATTGAAACAGATTATGTAGATCCGGCATTTACTGTTCGAATAGTTTCTAATGGCGATAAAAGTCCTAGTGGGTACGTCTCCATGCCTCCTACTTTCTATATATTTACTTATTTCCTTTGTATTGATTAATCTTTTACTGTTTTAAGAGACTCGAATGAAGGTGCCGGTCAACCAAGTGATAACGCCAGTAAACCTCTACTGCAAACTGTTGTAAAGTCATCTTAATAATATGCCATTGCATCAATTATATACAAGAGTTATGGGGGAAAAACAGGCGTATTTGGTGGAATACGCTTAAATGGGTGATGGGTTATGCATTGAGCTTTATCCAGGGTGTGTATCGACCTGTTATTGTGTGTAGTTGTATTCAACTGAAGAGAGCAACATAATGACTTTGCTCATTGGTTACTCGAGAGGTATCTCCATAGCGTGATTGCAATGACGTCTGTAGTGTCTCATAATATTGGAGATTTCAAGTGCTTGCATGCGCTTCTTTACTTCAGCCATTCTGACGTTGTATTTCCCACATCATCATTTTTATGCTTAAAGAATTCTTCCTCTTCTTATTCTCAGATAGCTCTTTGTTTCTTCACTTTTTTTCTTAAATGTACTCTTTTGCCCAATATTTTGCTTTTTTCAGGTTCTTATCGTTGATATTCGAAAAATTAATAAATCCGTTTTATTCGGACAAATCCGATATTTAAGCTATTTTCTCAATTCAAGGTACTTTAGTATGTTCATTCAATTTTGAACCTGTTGATAAGAAATATGATTTTCTTAGAAATCATAAAAAATCTCATTTTTTGTATTTCATTGTCGGATGGTGTGGTAACTCTTGCTTGGTTTCCATAGTTTCAACAATTCTCAGCTGTCTAGCGATACAATTTTCTGTGGAATTATTCCCCATCCTATTATCAATTTGATCCTAAATCAATTAGTCTTAGTGTGACATGAAGAGCTAACATCCTTTGACGGTGCGCCAAATTACTTTGGCGATGATGTCGAATCTCCGAATGAGTAATTCAATTACATTTAGACAATTACACATCGAATTGTTTGTAATTTCATAAGTGCATGCAAAGGTGGTATTGATGCTGTCTGTGCTCTTCAATCTCTGGTGTTTACTGCAATCATCCTTTTAAAATTCTATTGTGGATTATTGTTGCTATTTCCTAAATCGAATCTCAAACCTATCACTTTCGATATTGTCTACGAATGCAGATATGTTTTTTAATGAAATAAAGCTACATTTTTGCTTACTTGATTTGTTAGATTAAAGGTCGCGTTTTTGCTGCTTCGTATGAAGTTCAAATCTTAAATGGGGATAACAGCTTTGAAAATAAGTTACAAAACGCTTAAATTTTTTTCAAATGGATCATATAAAGTCCATAAAATTATGAATTGAGGTTCGATCAACAAATTTTGGAAAATGTGAATTAATATGTTTCACCAGGTGATCTTATCAGGACTTAAAATCAATGAAGCTGTGATCAAGGAGTAATGAAGTTGGCCCTCTTTAGTACTCAGTGGCAGAATATTTTGGCAATTTCTCTAACTGATTGGTATTTCAGAGCCGACTTTGGAAGGGGTACTTAGAAGGTCAATTGAGTTGACAGTCGTAGAAATTGTATAAAAGTGTTCCATCTGGAACATAATGATGGCTCACTAAATGGGGAGTGGAAATATCAAATACCTTTCACTTAGGAAACCTAGCCTCATGTGCTTCCGGGATTCTGATTTTTTTCTTAAATTACATCTACAATATATGTGTGCACTGTACTGCATCATAATTGGTCTTATTCATCTAACAGTTGAACGATCTATAAACCTTTACGTTTGCTTGTTTTCTACCAGACCAAACCAACTTGTTATAGTCTGTATGTGGCTTTTATAACTGCAAATACAGGGGCGCTTAGAACAGCATAACCATATAAGAAGCTAAATCACATCGGATCAAAGACAAGGGTTGTGCTCAATTACTTAAATTCTACTATGAAATGTGCTATGACCATAAAAGTGCGCATGCTTGGTGAAATTGTGAGGGGAACGCAAAGGAGATTTGAGGTAAATAAGTATCTTCCTGTTAAGTTCATATCACGCGAATACACTATATCTATTGCCAGGTGAGTGACACGAACGAGACATGAAAGAAAAACCCAGAACATGACTTGAGATCGGGTATACCACCATGCCATCGTTGGGTTCAGAAATGATTAAAAATGGAAAGCCTTGTGATTATAGAAGCGATTAAAAAAGGGAGGGCCAATCTCGGAGGACTGAAGCGCTATCTGTAAACCTATTGGTTGTTTACATAAATAAGGCTTGATGAATACATAAGCACAGTTCAACGAGCTTCAAGGTTAGCCGTCCTCTGGTAGGTCGATCGTATGTATATTTTGCCTTAGCAGCCGAGAAAAAAATGTTCAAATTGATTTACTCACCTTCACTGTAAGGATCATGATTTTCTTTTAGATGGTGTGTCAATGCTTAATAAATGTAGTTTAAATTACAAGTCATTGTCGAGACTAATTTTTCCAAAAATTTGAAATAAGTGGTTTATTCGTTTCTCGGAGAAAAAGAAGTGCGACATTAAATTATTTCACTTTTAGAAAGAAACTGGCAAGCAACCTCTTTTGGTTGATTGAACAGGAATAAATATGCAAAAAATAGATATGTTGATACATGATAAATGATTATTAAAGTACCAAAGCTAATATTCCATTAAAAATAGAAATTGAAATTCATGGGATAAACGGTACAACACGAGGATATAATTTTCTAGAGAAATTATTTTCTCCATTTTACTGATAATATGTGTAAACTTCTCAAATCTCCTATTATACTTTACAATTTTATGCAGGTAGAAACACCTCGAAATATTACTATATATGAAGCTACAAAACATTATCTGATCAATATTCTACTTTTAGAATAATATTCCTCTTCCATTTATGCTTGCTTTCTTTACTATTCTCCGTGAAAGTATCATTTTGAATTACTACTCAACTGGCCTTAAGTACTGTTAATGTGCAAATGTTCGAGCTGGATACAATATAGCACTTAAAGAAGAAATGGGGTTTTGCAATCACAGATTTTATATTTTATGCTTCTGAATGTGTCCTTACATTTAATCATTCAAAACTCTGCGAAGTAAAGGGAAATCCTTTATTGAATATGATCCAAAGAACAAAATCGAAACTTGAACAGAATAACTAAAAACGGAAGAATGCAAATACTATGGTTCATAGAGTTCTCCTGGAAGTTGTGCATCCTATTTCTTCAGGAGTTTTTTTAACATACGATCTTCGAACAAATAAAGCTATGTTTCTTACACCTCCATGTCAAATAAAGGTACTGTAAAAAAATTAAAATAATTTAACTTGACATTTTTTCAGCCGTTTTATCGTGAATAATAAGTTTTTAAAAGTCTTTACTTCAATATTAATACAACCGAAAGGCCAAATCTCCAGTGGAGTATGCTGATTAAAGTTTGTGGCTCATTCGTTTACTTAAAGAAATGCACAGAATTTTTTCATATTTTGATGATACAATATATTAATTTTGTGAAAATTTAAAGAAATGCCAATGGCTTAGAGCAGACTACTAGTTTATGTCAATAAACGTCTCATCATAGGTAGAAGACCCTAATTAAAGTTATATTGATTTGAATTGCGCGAGCTGAATTCGATAAATTGATATTAAATTCAATATTGACGCTGCTATTCCACTCATATGACCTAAAAGAGCTATGAATTTTTGCTAATTTGGTTTAATGCACAAATACATAAAATGACGCAATTGCGTGTATAAGAAAGAGACGAGATTGTAAGTATGAGGAATAATTAAATTATTAATTGAACAGTTCTGTGCGGCGATAGAGTAAGGTGATATATAATAAAGATATTGTTGATGTAATAAGGAGTTCAAATCAGTCCTCTTTAATTATTTATACACATACGAAAATAGTAAAATATTGTCAATACTACAAGTCTCAGAAAATCCATTGAAATTCAAGCTATATAAATTTTAAATAAACAAAAGTGTATGAATTTAAAATCGAAAGATAGATGCTTAAATATAAGCAAAGGACTTCATGTTTGGCACTAAGTTTGATCAAGTGTAAACAAGTTGCGTCTTCGTCAAATAGTTTCATACTAAAAACAAACAAATATTATTTGAAACAAATCTTTTGTATGCTTAAACATGAAAGAAATCTTAAAATTTATTCTTGTAATTCTTACTCATGTAACTGGAAATTTATCAAACGTAACAACAACTAGAGTTTAGAAATATGATCAAAAATTCGAGCTGAATTCGTCATCCACAAACATAAACAACACCTGATTACCAAACAGGGTCTTGGATATTCACCCTCCATTTTAAACAGCCAGACGATAAATTATTTTTCGAGTTTGAGAATCTCGTCGCAATTTCCTACCACATTAGATAGATCAATCCAGGAATAAATAATAGATTGAAAAACAAAAAATTCGCCTCAAATAAAATATTTATTTATAAATGTTCATATATTAATATTCAACTCAAATGTATATATTTTCAAGTTACAAAAATGTTTATTTGAACTTTTAACATTTATGTAAAAATGTAATTTTTAAATATCTTCGCATAAAATCCAATAATACTGAAATACTTTTCCATCCAAAATGTAATTAAAACTTTTTGAATATGTACATCAACAATATCCAATCAATATGTCTTTATTAGAGTCCTTTAACTTAACCTATAATTCCCTATATTTGTTTAAAATTTCTCGCGCGCACTTATTTCGAAACTTTCTCGTGAGTACTTTTTTACGCGGTATTATCACCATGTCCGGTGGATCTCATGCATTAGAATTAAAGGAGGATGATGTCAAACTTATGACTGCTGCCAAGGTTCACATTGGCAGTCCAAACGTTGACCATAAAATGGAACAATACGTTTACGGCCGAAGCCCCGAAGGTAATCATATTATCGACCTTGGTAAAACCTGGGAGAAGATTCTTTTGGCCGCTCGTGCTATCTGTGCTATTGATAACCCTGCCGATGTTGTTATTATCGGTGGCACACCAGCCTGTCAGCGTGGATCTCTTAAATTCGCTCACTACACCAAAACCACACCCGTTAATGGTCGTTTCACCCCTGGTGCATTCACTAACTACATCCAGTCCGGATTTAAGGAACCACGACTTCTCATCGTTTGCGATCCTAAAGCCGACCACCAGCCTATTCGTGAGGCCTCAGCGGTTAACATCCCAGTGATTGGGTTCTGTAATACTGATTCTCCACTCACCTGTGTGGATATAGCAATTCCTTGCGACAACATCAACGTAAGTCAATAGTTTTTAGAGTAATGTTTTAGAAATATTCCATTGCTCTCATGCTCTGGATGTTGGCAAGGGAAGTTCTTCGCATGCGTGGCGAGATTGTACGCAGCGAGCCATGGGACGTCATGGTCGATCTTTTCATTATGAGGGAGCAAAGTGACGAAAAGGAAGTGAATGTTGAGGGCGAAGCCCGAGATGTCCCATACGAAGTTCCTGCTGGAGATGCTGGTAAGTTTTATTAATTTGAACTAACCGTTTTGTCTTAGCTGAAGCTGAAGTAGAAGAGTGGGAAGCGGAACATCTCCCCGCGGCTGTTATGCCGGACCTCGGTGTAGGATCAAATGGAGCCTGGTCTAATTTTGATGTTAAACCTGAGACCACTTGGGCTTAAGGTGTAAATAAACGGATTTTTCCGGAAAATATTCGTCTTTTAATTACGTTTTTGTCGATCTTTGTCTTGTGTACTTATGCGATATAGAAACGTAGCCGGAGTATATCCGAAATGCCTTTGCATGTTGCGGTTTAGTGCAATCCATTTGTGATAATTTTAGTTGTGTAGGATGAGCTTTTTTGGATATTAGCTTCAGCTATGGTGCATCCGGGCAGCGTTGACTTCTTACTTTAAACTATCATGACCCTACTGTATGTCATATTCGCTACTCGCTTAGTATCATATTGAGTAATTGCTTGTTTAAAGCGGTAGATTTGTCAAATCCTCTAGGAAGCCTTCGGTGTGGCTAGTGCATCTCAAGTCGTGAAGTTCTAGGCAAATTCCAGCACGAAAGTTTGACTGTGGCCTTGCCAATTATTCGCGATAAGTGATACTCTTCCCTGACAACAAAACATTTTATTTAATCCAGAATATCGTATGTTCCTCTTAGACGTAGTTTTCAACCTATCCCAGGTAGTTCAGCCTACCACACCAAGCCACTTGATGGTGAGTAAAGTCAAGAACAGCTAAGCTGTCTAAACGAAGCGATATCGGAGTATACCCATAAATTGGGGCTTCCGAAATGTTGATCAGCAGAGCTCTTACAGTTCTCGGGGCCTTTCAGCGACCACATTTTTAGGCTAATTGTAGTTACATTTTGAGTATCGGTAAAGCTTGACACAATAAAATACGCGAGGAATTATCCTCCTTTAGACTTTTATTTCTAACTTCAGTTCTATTGGCTGCATAAGCTGATAGATTAGACAAAAGGTCATATAAAGGTGAAATTCTCACTAGATCGATTAAAATAAAACCCACCAACACTGTGAATGATATAGTAAGGTTATGAAGCAGGAAATAAGTATGCTCATGAAAAAAAGGAGATCACAACCAGAGCGTAACAGAGGTATATACAAACAGGAGAATTTAGTATTTACATCATCAAGTGGTTTTGTGTTCATTACACATGCCTAAAAGAGAGCTTCGAATGGTGGCATAGAGCCTATCGGCCTGTTGAAAAGCATCATGAAACAGTTTGGGTAGGGTCTGTGCCGACTTCAGTTCCAACCCCTCGGCATTGAACATCGAAACCTGCCGCAATTGTGTCAACAGAGCAACTGAAGAGGTCTTTTTTTCACCATTGCTTGTAGAACTTAAAGAAGAAATATCAATGTCTATTCCGAGAGCCAAATCGTACATCTGAACGCAACTGTTGACGAGAGCCAGTGTGGCACAGGTTATACCCGCAGAAAGGCAAGATGACATATTTGAAAGTTGGTCACCCAATTCTGTTCCAATGTCTAGAATAGTGACCACAATTGTGTATTTTCCTCGGGGAAAGCTATCCTAGAACAATCGAATGGAGAAATTAAGTAAAACTTACGAGAACGATAGAAGGCTCAAGAGCTGTCAGAAGCAACTGGCTTAATCTTTTTTCTTCAGCTTCTTTTCCCCCTTCCCGTCGAATTTGGGAGCAAAAGGGAGCAAAGTTGAAAGTGGTAAAGAGCTGTCCATCTTGTTTAATCTATAAAAAATAATGCGTAACACAGAAACTCTCATACATCAACAGGACCACAGACGCTACAAATAACTTTTATATTGTTATATTCTAAATATGCAGATCCATCGGCAGTTGGGTTGATTCCTATTGTAAAATCTATCTTATTAATTTTTGCGAGAGTACTTACATATTTGTGGAGATTGATCAGTAGGCTTCTCCGTCTAGAAAATCGTATATTGTAACAAGAATTATACCTTCTTCGGTCTTATAAAATAACTTAAATCTAAAGCTTCCGATGGGGCCTTAAACCTGTCCATAGCACATGAAATGGCAATGTAGAACAGATAGTTTACTAATTAGTGGTGTTCTGACCTTGATAAAATTTATAATATTATCAAAATTAAGCTCCATTATGACTTCTTTCATCTTAACTAGTATAATTTTCGTCGTTAAATACAGCCATCTAATTTATTTACATCAGATGACAGGCTTTATGATAGCTATCATTATCCCTTTAGTTGAATTCGGGCTCCAATGAGGGAGCAACATAAGTCAAAAGTTGGAAAGGGGAACAAAAGAGTGATTCACAGATGTAAGTGAGACAGAACCAAAGGTAGAGAGAGTGGTGGAATATGACATACAGAGGGAACGTTGTTGTTTGAAGCTAGAAGTCAGCTACTAGTTTATTGACTTCTTGCCGTATGAGTTTGGACTATCTTGTACCCCAATGCACCAATACAATAATACCTTCATGTTAAATATATTTGCATTTGGACGTTGATATTTTGTTGCATTCTTAACAATTGTTTATAAACAATTAAAATGTAAGAATATGAAATAAGATCCCTTTTATTGATTTAGTACCTCTCCTCTGTGAATCCCGACGTCAGCTAAAGGGCTAATGATAACTATCAAAACGCCTGTCATTTAAATAAATGAAAGATAGGATCCTTACATTTTAGTAAACTAATTTTTCTTTGAACTTTCTTTATGAATTGTCTGGTGGACAGTTGCTACCCCC